GTCATAAAAAAATCGGATATGAGTCAGACGGGTCAAAAAATCGGATTTGGGTCGGATTTGCCTGCAGTTTGAACGTAGCCTCAGTTTCACTAAACATTCTAATCAAATCAAATGTGTTTTGTTAAATGAGGTGCACATTTCCATCCCACCACACTGTGCTCTCCTCGGTGAAAGAGCAAACAGAAAGCTGTCTTTGTGATTTTCCTGCTCATTTGTGAGATTACAATATGTTAATGAGATAATTACAGTGGATGTTTGGAATTAATCAGCCTCTGCCGGCGGTGCTGTTGTGTTTAGTGTCAGGATTATCGTGGCCCGCCGTGACACAGCCCGCTCCGGCCCACCCCCACCCTCACCATCAAAAGAGGCAGTGTTTCTTTGGCTGACATCGGAGAAGCACGTCGGTGATGACTGTCTCTGCGAGCGCCTTCTCCTCGTTAGGCGCTCGTAAGAGGAATTATGTTGTAACAGGACTGGCAGAGGTCCAAGTGAGCCGCAACAATCGCTCAACGAGGAGAGAGAAAAAAAAAACAGATCCACAGATGTGCCACTCCTCTATTCTTCTTTTWAATATCATTATTTATTCATGTGAAGAGCTCCTCGTAGAGCTTTAAATACATAATGTAATGAGTTCTGAGCTCGGCTCGCTTTTGTTCCTCTGCTTGTACCGAGCCAATTAAWGAGTTACTGGGCAAGCACAGAGCCGTATATACAACTGCAGTGAGTTATTATAGAAACCTACAGAGGAAATGGCTTTTAAAGTTTCATGATTTTTGCAGAAAACTGCGATTCAATTAATAAAACAAACATAAATTTCCAGTTTTTTGGTGTTTCCCTTCAGMGTGGATCATCTTTTTTTCTGTGTTTGACTCGAGCAGCTCTGCCTGCAGTGTTTGCCTCAGGTTGTGTGGGTAAAAGTTTTGTAGCTTTTACAACAATAAGCTGAGCTCACAAACTCAGATCACCGTTGCCTTCTTCCTTCCTAAACGATGAAAGGTGGCGGGTGATATGCATTCCACCTTTAATATCTYTTTGATGTTTTTCGTCTCTCTGCTGGATTTAAATGTGTTTTTATTCCTCCCAGAATAAAAGACCTTACTATACATAATATGTATGTATTATTTGTATATAATCCACATAATATAATGTTTATATCTTATGTTATTGTGCTTCTATCACTGTGTATATTGTATTTATKTGTATTGGAGCTGATTCTGATTCAGCAAATCTAAGTTTTAGGACTAATCCGGTTGTTCTGTGCAGCTTTGCAACACCTGAGTTAATAAAAGCAACAAATAAAAACACAACATTGTGTCGTTTGTTGGTGCAGGTCGCAGCCATCAACCCCAGCCACCCCCTGGCTCAGATGCCCCTCCCCCCCTCCATGAAGAACTGCATCCAGCTGGCTGCCTGCGAGGCCAACGAGCTGCTGCCCATGAACCCCGACCTCCCCGCCGACCTCTTCACCTCCTGCCTCACCACGCCCATCAAGATAGCACTGCGATGGTAACTCCTCCCACTTCCTTCTGTGTTTTCAGTCAAACTGGTCTTTGCTTCTGGTTCAGGACGGAGTTTAAAACACAAAATACTTGTTGGAGAYGTGTTCTGGGTGACTCCATCGATACATGTCCTGATTTCAGGCTGAAATAATGAGGAGTTTGTGATGTTTGTCACCTAATTGTTTAAATTTTAAAGAGCTTTTCCATTTGTGAACACTTTACTTTAACATAAACTCTTTATTATTATGAGCTTTGAGCAACAGAAGCAGAAAAACAGTTTTTTATCAGCTTCAGTTTGAGTGTAAAGCTGCAACTCAAGACACAAGTGATGTGATTTTCACTTTCACTTTTCTAAATGATCTAGTCATCTAAACCAACATTTTCACTTTGACCAATCAGACGTTGTTTCATTGATTTAATGTTTTTCCTCCTAGCCTGTTCATGGCTCACGACTCAGACCCTCAGTTGTGTTTTTTGCACAGAGTCAACATTCCTCTGAGCTGCTGCTCAGTGTTCGGCTGATGAGAAATATTCAGCTGCCAAGAGRAATGTAGACTGACATCATCCGCAGTGATGCGGGGGTGATGATCCCCGCAGAGCGCCTCTGTAAATAATAAATAAATAAAAAAGGTGAAAGATATTCAGGAGAAATGAGGCTCTGCTTSATGTAAATGCATCCTTTAAAGAACTGTACTGATGGAGCTCCGAGCTAAAGCACAGCAGCCACTCGGCTTGCATCAGCTGCTCCGCTCTGTGTGTGGGTGTAGGTGGTGTGTAAGATGATTGCATCAACTCGTACACACACACACACACACACACACACACACACAGCAGTAATAAAATGCCCTCTGAGTTTTTCACTGAAGCTGTTTTCTTCTTGGTGCTGGGTCAGAGRCATTTGGGAGAAAAATCTTTAAAGCTGTCTGAAAATGTAACAGAAGAACACGTCCACCATGTTTTTCATGCTGATCTATTATACTCTGCTTTGTTTAGATTTTAGCTATYGTTTAGCTGATTTTGTATAGCATTCAGCTATGGTTTACCTTTAGCTACCATTTTGTTAGAAGCTTTTAGCACTGTTTTGCTGCGTTTAGCAACTATTCTGCTACGTTTAGCATTTAGGTACCATTTTGCTAATGTTAGCTATTAGCTTTAGTTCTAAAACTGAAGGCGTTTAGCTTCTTTTATCTACCATTTTGCTAATGCTAGCTATTAGCTTTAGTTGTGAAACTGTAAGCTTTCTGCATCTTTTATCTAACATTTTGCTCCTATTTGATTTTAGCTGTACGTCTGCTAATGTTAGCTTATGGCTTTCGTTCTGGTATTGAACATTTTTGCTACGATTTTGCTGCTTTTTGGCACCACAAAGCTAAGGCTATCGTAATGATAACCTTAGATTTTAGCTGCAATTCTTTGCCTTTAGCATAGTTTTGATACTTGTAGCCTGTGTTTTGTTTTTAGCCTATGTTCTGCTTGTTTTAAGTTTAAATTAGAGATGCTCAAATCAGGTTTTATTCTGGCGATTCTGAAACCAATCACCWATGAGTGTCGATCACTGCCAATCACCGATACTGATCAGAAGGGGGAGGGGGACGCTACACTGAATGCCGCAAACACAGCCTCGGCCAAATTATCTATTTTTGTGATTGGCAATGGAAGGCATTTATCGAAAACGTCAATCACATTCACATACTTTTTCATGAAAATCAGCCGATTTTGATCGGTGGCCTATTGATCAGAACACCGCTAGTTTAAACACTTAGCTTTTTGAATTGACAGTTTCTCTGGATTTATGTGGTGATTTGTGTTTTGAGAGATGGTTCAATGAAAATTTTAGTCTTTTAATCCAGATTAAACCAGATTTGTGGTCTTTAGGAAGCTGTAAAAAGCAGGTGATCACCTCATCTTTAATGCACCTCACTTCCTGCCCTGATCCACTCTATCTGCAGCGTTCAAAGTCCCTTTGGTGCCATAAATCAATACCTGCCTGCACCTTTTTTTCCTTTTTGCATTTTGATGACTGGTTTCACTTTGCAGACACTGAAAGTCATTGGGATGATTTGAACAAATTTTCAGCTGGAATTTGAAACTTTCTGTGAAGCGTTTAAGTGGGAGTGACATGTTGCCTTCAGGGGGTGTCCTGCCGTTAGACAAATGTTTCTCTTCTGCCACAAATGTTCAGGAGTTGAGTTCATCTTCCTCTCTGCTCTGAATCCACATCCTGCCATGACCTTCAGCATAATGAGCTCTCACTTCTGGGCCATTAATATTGATCAGTTAGCAGCGCTACTGTTCGCAGGACAAGTTGCTGAAAAGCCTGATGGATAATTTTATTGAAATTATTCTGTCATACAAAAAAAGTGTTTTTTCCTTTGGTAGAAAAACGGGTCTGATCCATTCTGCTGTAGAGTCTGTTCGGGTCAAGTTTCAGGTCTTTTTTTAAATAAAACAACTTAGCTGGGAGTAGGAGTGTAAAAACTGTGTCTTTGATATCGTATTAAAAAGGGTTAAACTCAGTAGATTAACAGTTTCTGAAATACTCACAACAACCACATCACCTTCAAGTTTACTTCTGACGCTCTGCTTGAGCCTCTTCTAGATGCCTGAAGGCTGAGTTGCTGCCATGTGATTGGCTGATCGGCTGTTATTAAGCACTTGAACAGGTGATAAAGTATTCGTTAAGACAGGTTGAAGATATGAGAGGAGCTCCTGCAGATTAAACGTTCAGGTCCAGATTTGATCAGCTGAAACTGTAGCGTCCRGAATCACTGCAGCTGCCTCATCATCTTTTCCCCGTTCTCCTTTTCGCCTGTTAACTTTATTTATTTTTTAAAATAAAGACACTCTGAGCTGTCTTCTTAATYTAGCCCAGCCTCGAGGTGAGACAGGATGAGAAAATGAGGGGGGGGGGGTCTGCTGCGGTTCAGCGGGGTTGAAGTGGGTGGATGAGGGGAGCGTACTGATGTGCTGGCTTACCTTGACTTTAAAACTTTAATGAGATGCATTGAGGGATAGATGATGGGGTTTGCACAGGGAGAGACAAACAGGGTGGGGGAGGTTGACGGGGTGGGGTGCTCCTTTCATAGCTCAGCTGAGCAGAAAATCATTACTGATGGAGCACCATCTTCAAGGGATTTCCCTGCTGCTGCGACCGGCGCAGGGGGGATGGATGCGTGCATCTGAAAATAGAGATGGAGGAGAGAAGAAGAGCTCAGGTTGCAGATTAGCCTCTCAGACCTGTTGTGGTGTGTGTGTGTGTGTGTG